CGACACCAAACCAGAGTCCCTAATGCATTAAGCTGAGTGAAAAAAGCCAGACACAAAAGGCTATGTGACTTTCTGGAAAAAGTAAAACTGTAGAGACTTGGAGCAGACCCGTGGGGCGTAAGAGCCCTAGCAGGGGGCAAGTTTTGGGAAATGTACACATTCATCAGAAGTCGGGAGACTGCACAGGTAAACCATATAATAATACATGACCAGGTCCTCATCCAGCCCCACCCAGGCGCACGGTAGACACTCCCCACCACGGAGAGCGAGATGCAGCTTCGCCTCCCCTGGCCCTCCGTCGGGAAGCTTCACCTCCCACCTTCTCCTAGGTCCCCCATACTTTCTTCCTTTCTTGCTGTCTCTCCCATTTGATTGGCGTGACTTGCCCTCATAGAGAACTAAAATGGGTTCTTCAGCTTGTGACGTGCTGGTGGTTTGATTCTGGCTGCTGAACTGCAGTGAGAACGAGTCCCCCCACTGCAAGCCCCTTTGTGAATCCAGGCCTCCTCCAGGCTCCCCTCTGTGTGCGGCTGCAGCCTGGCTGGCCCGTCCTCATACCCTGTGCGTGCTGGGCAGCGCAGGGTTTGGTCTGCACACCCTAGCCCTTGTCCCTAGCTTTAGTCTCCTTTGTTTCAGAGATTTCCTTGCTTTTGTCCAGATGCCTAATGCTGGGAAACATGACCACATGGCCTCTTGCCCACGTCCATGGAGCAGCGCATTCCTGGTTGGCTCCTCACCTTGACAGCTGGAGCAGACTGTGGAGGAGCCTTAGAGCTGTTCCCTGCCTCGTTAGAGCTTGCTGCCAGAAGTGACCCTAAACCATCCGCCTCTCTTCCACTTAGCTCTCCAGAGCTGAGGCCCTACCCAGGCTGAGCCAGATTCACGTCAGGTGCACCCTGGCCGGTTCTCCACCAGCCCCTGAGATGTCCACTCCTGAGTCCCCTGTCACTCCCTCCCAGGACCTGGGGGACTTGGAGAAGGAGGGAAGGCCACCCACACTCTGAGAGGGGCCATCCTTCTTCTCTGGCGTCCCTCAAGCCTGATCCGAGCCCAATGGGAAGGAAGTAGAAGGACATGCAGGTCCCCACAGCCCACGGGGAAGTGACG